AAAAATTAAATTAACCTTCTGTAGTCCGTTGGTAGATACTTATATATATTACAATTAATTACTTTATAATTTCAATGTCATGGAAAGTAACTAGGTACCTACTTAAATAGTTAAAATAGTTACRTATAAGTATATTCTAAGTAGGCTGATAGACCGTCTTGGCTCTGAGTTGTTTCACATTTTAGATATGCATGCAAATGCAAATGCAATTAATTAATTGCATCAATCATTGAATTCAAATTTCACCTATATACATGATACATTACAGTGACTTGCGTACCTACACAATTGCCCAAGCCTCAYCGTTCCATCATGTTAAAGCCGGAAATGCAGCTCCAGTGGATGTGGAGGACGGTGCCGACTCCCAAAAGTTCCTAGATATGCCATATCTCATGGTACATGCAGGTACTCAYAGGGTATGGATGTTTTCAGCACAACCTTCATCGCATGCGGGAATGGCCAGCCGATGATACAYATACACAGCCTCTGTGCGGAGGATGTATAGCGGAACACAACGAGTTCAATTGAATTTGCTGGGATAGGTTCAGAGTGGACCTAAACATTCGACTAGGTCCGCTAATGTCCCCGATATCTTGTGCATCTTGGTTTTTTGGGATCTACAAATTCTACCGGCGAAACAGGAAGACAGAGCCTCCTGCGGGTAGAAGCTGAATAGTAGTTTCAAACAGGTGGCAGAAAAGGCATGACCTAAGTTAAACACTAAGTTTAGGCTTCTAGGTAATCGATGACGTACACGATTATTACCTTTTGACGAAATTCGTCAAAAACTATAATATTATATAATAGATATATACTAGATTTGTTTTTATAACAATTATAGTTCAATCTACACACTACACTATATTATAGAGAAATAAACTTCTAATAAAGTAGTTGGGTATAGAATTATAAATAGTAAAACATTCTTAGAAATATGGACTGACTAAACGTAGGTAATCACTTAGAATAGTTTTTCGTATGCAATGATTTACCATATAAAATTCAAATTTAATACAGTGACATGGATGCTCAATAATGTACACGTCTTGCCGCACCTACTTTCACCCTTTTTAAAAATTATTCATACCTTTTTCAACGTTTTATTTAATAAAAAATAACAAAAGTAACAGTTTTAATGAACTACCAGATTAATGTTTATTTTTTTTAAGAACGTTAACATAATAATATATAAACACGTTCTTTTAAAAAAAAGTGAACGTGAACGACTTGGTTTTTTTAAGCATTGAATACCTATAAACGTAAACGAATTACATTTTAAAGTGAACGTCCGAAATAGCGAACACTGAATTTTCCAGGCACATAATATTCATTGACGCATGTGATGCACATCTCCCCCACACCAATTGATTTTTTACCATCACGGAATTTTTCAATTCAAATCACGTAAATGGAAAAWATAATACATGCCGTTTAATTACATTAATGTATACATCTCGTTCTCGTATAGACTTTACTCGCATCAATTCATCCACATTATAGGAATATGTGTTCGAAACTCATTAATTAACAAATAATGTCTGTGAAARGGGATTTTAGAATATACATACGTATTATTTATTTTTATTAGTTTTATGTAAATAACAAAATTAATAAATATATGAATGGCATTACAAATTCAAACACATGTTAAATTTAAACAAATTAACAAACCTAACGTTTGGGTATCTATTCATAGAAGTTCAGATGTTCTTCAAACATCAATAGCAACGGTACCTATTACAAATATTGATGTATGTCATGAATGAAATCATACACAGAAATAGTTATTGATAAAATACCAGAAAAGATATCGTTAATAGTTTGTTGCTTGATAACGAATTATAGAATACATCACATACRAATAACAGCCTTAACTTCACACAACTCAAAAATTGTAATCATATAATATATTAATTGTATACAAGGAACTGTTGACCAGGTCATGAATTAGCTTAATTACAATTAGATATTAATATTTATAAGGAAATCCGCAGCACACRTTACTGACTTGTCCATATTAACAGAATCGACATGATTTTTAAAAAAGCTCAGAGGACAGCTGCAGCAACAAACTGTACCATAGCCATTGACACCTGAGCAMCTTCACGCCACTCATATCAAYGCTTATTGTACATTTTATAAATTTTGCTAAATTTAATATCATTTGTTCATAGTTGAAAATTGTCCATCAACYATTATTAAAAAAAAAMCACTGATATCTGGATCACTGGCAGCTCGCAGGCAACGCTGTATATAACAGAGTTYACGACAAAGTATATCCACTGGTATTAATTTAATAACCATAGGCAAAGCTGTGCATGATCAGCTAGTTAATAATAAAAATAATATTTCCTTAATTTTTATATTTTCTAGGGCAAGTGTCCTGGTGTAATTTTATCATACTATTTATAGTAATAGTCAACTGTRTAATCAATTGTAAGTAAATCTGGTCATTATCTGGTTTTTTTTTTATAAAATGAAAAACCAAGTGTAGGTATATCATACAAGTCTTAACTGAATGATATGAACAATACGTTTTTCAGAATTTTAATATACTCAAACACATGATGTTCAAACTACAACATTTTTGTCATTATAAGTAATTTTTTGGTAGTTAGAAAATWAYCAGATGAAATATAGAAAATAACTTTCATCTAGTTTATTGCATAAAAATTAAAAATAATAAAATGCATTCATTTAAAAACTATTTGGCTGCTTAATTATAAGTTTACAATTTAAATAAATTTTAAATAATGAAAAGTTTAATTTGTATAAATGTATTCAAATACTTGGAAGAAAATAGTATTAAAGTAAATATTCAATAAAAGTATGCTATTCCATACTAACACAGTTRTTCTTGATTTTAAGAATAATTTCAAAAGCTCTAGGATTTGTGATATCAGCAACTAATAATTTACATCCGTCAGCAATACCTAATTGTTCAAGAGTCATTTTTAGATTCGGCCTAGTTTTTAATTCAATGGAAGGCACATTTGGCATATACAGTGTTTTTCTTTTTCCGTCTAATTCTATAGTGAGTGCAGGATTCTTCATCTGATATTGTTGGTGTTCACCAAGTATTTCAATTATTTTTTCTAGCCGCATATTTGTGTCATCAATATCGAGATATTTGGCTTTATATGGACTACATGTAATACAATCAGATTTACGTTCGGCTTCATATGTATAGGTATATATACCATCAGCATCATTGAAAACAGCATAATTATTTAATAATGGGCAACAGCTGGTGGCCACTTTGAAAGCCTCAGTAACACAAGCTGCAGCTATCACAGCGTTTGTTGATGCTACTGCTGGTATTATATTTTTAATAACACCTTGAACCAATCGATAATTAACTCCATTTATTCCTAATGTACAAAGAAATACTTTATAGTTAATAAGCAATTACTTACTTAGATATAGTTAATTTAAAATTTAAATACTTACCAAATTGATCAGCGCGTTCAAGGGATTTTTCATAAATCCAACTAATGTGAACTGGATCATCTGTATCAATGTTGGAATCAAATGGGTTATCTTTTGGCCATTGTATTAACTTTACATACTCTATACAATGTTCAGGTAAACGAGGTGTACTTGCTATGGTGCATAATGGATAAGTCACCTATAAACAAATATATGTTTAATATTATTGCTCTATTCATATTYCTATCAATTAGTAATTAATTTCAAATAGTTTACTTTGTATTCGAATTAGAATACAAGGACGATATTCTTTTAATAGTATCATTTTTAAACTAATAAGGTATAGTCATGTGCAGTTGAAATCAATTTAATTAAAAAATTCCAAACTKAACTTGAATTTATATTTTTAAAACATTCCAGATATAGCCTATAACCATAATTAAATATAAAATCCTCAAAATCAACATTTAAAAGTTTAATGAAAATTATATTAAAAGATTAATGGGGTTAAAGTATATTTCAATTAGTGTTTAGATACAAAAAATATTTAGAATATATTGTGTATATCGACACAATAAATAACTTATGATATATTATGAGGATAAAGACTATTTAGAACCTAAATTACAAAATTAAATATAAATATGATTGGTAATAAATCAAATTTTAGTAGTCTATCTTTATTCTGAAAAATGTCTACTAAATCCTGTGTATATTTTAAAACGAAATAGAGAAATTCAAAATTCYCGCATTCAGTTATTCCACTGCTCAAGGAGGTCACATAATATTACAAAAATGACGGACTAAATTACTGATAAGTGATAAACACTACCAGTATCAGTTAACAAATTTAATATTATCATCACAAACTCACGGTCCTAATGCAATATGGTTGATGCATATAAAATACAAACTGTGTATAAATTAGTTTTTAAATTTTTAGAAAAAAATAATTAACTATAAGCTGTTATTATAGTGATTAGATCTTAAACAAAATTAGAAAAGGTTATTTTTATTTTCATAGGAGCATTTAAAAATAATATCATGTCTACCCGATGGTATGTATACAATGAAGTTAATAAGTAAATTGATAATCATAAGAGTACATCTGTTTGGTCTAATAAATTAATATATTATTCTAATGATAGTTTAGTTTTATRAAAATTTAATTAAATATTTTAAAAATGTTATAGGTATCCAATTTATCAAAGAGGCAATCCTCAACTACGTATTTTTTTGCCAAATTTTTGGATGAAATTAGTACGACCAGAAGAAAAACAACCAAAAAATGTGGTCCAATTTATGGTACCCACTGGAATGACAAATTATGATATAGAGAATTATTTAAAAAAAATTTATAAAATTAATGTTGTTAAAGTTGAATCCAGTATTGAAAATGGTAAAATATTAATGAAATATAATATATTAACATAAGAAAATATACTTCAATACATATAAATGTTTGTAAAATATGTAACAGGTAAAATCAAAAGAGCGATTTTCAACAAATACGGACCTATTGTAAAAGAAGATGACTTCCGACGAGCATTTGTTACAATGGTAAGCAAATATTGATTATAAACAGTTGATTTTTTCTTATAAAAATATATTTTTAATTTTGTAGCCTAGAGATCAAGAATTTGAATTTCCTGATGTATGTACTACAGAAGAGTTTAAAAAACGTACCTCAGAAGATGAAAAATCAAGCAAAATTAGCCAAGATTTGTACAAAGACTATTTGAAAAAACAAGGAAACCGTCCTGGATTACCTGGCTGGTTTTCTTTTTAAGAATCATTGTTACATTTTTAACTGTGTAAATATATAGCATATGTCTATTCTGAAATTATTAGAATTAGATGTTTTATAAATAGTTTTAAAAATGTGTAATTAGAATTCTTTAAATAAAATAAATGTATTCGGATCAATGATTTATGTTAAATAATATCATGATTTATTTTTTTATTCTTAAACTTATTTTCCTTGATACATACTTTGATTGAACCAAATTTTGGAATTTGGTATGTTACTAATAACTAATATGTGTTAATAATATAGTGATTATAATTATATCTTATATTTTCAATTAAAAAATTGAATCATTGACAAATGGCAAGGTTTTACCTTTGATTTACCAATTAATATTTATAAGATATAACAGAATCTCAACAATTGTTCATCAGTAGACATTAGGCTTATTAAGTGTATACATGTATAATGCAATAATATAAGCTAACTCTACTATTTACACAATTAAGGTTTATTTTATAGTGTTGAATGGTAGCTACACATTTTACGGTGTGTTAAAGTAGTTGAAATTAGTACTATATGCATTAAACAGTACACAAATATAATTTGTTGAATAAGGATATTCATATTATTTATTTTTAACTACAAAAATTATATTTTTATTTCAAATTTTTTGAAAATTAATTAACTCATATTTTTAAAATCTTTTTTTAGTTAGGTATATGCATTAAAATAGAACTTACATTAATATATTACATGTTTGTTATGAATTGAAGGACTTAGAAAAGGCAATCAGAAGAAAATCCTTGGAAAACTACATCATAAAATGTTATGATTATCAGTCAACGTTAAGAAAAATGTTACTTGAAAATTAACTTATCTCTGCTCTTATAAACCTAATTATTATATTTAAAATAAAATATTACCTGTGGAGGAAATAAGTCTAGGGTGCAATCAATACATGGTGTAATCCCAGGTAATATAACACGTACATTGCCTTTGAAACCTTCAGTACCACCATCAATTAATGGTATTACCGTGGAATTGTCAAGTTGCTGGTTGTCATCGTATGATAACAATGATATAAGCATTCCATTTATCCATCGACGAGCAACAACAGAGTCAAGACCACATACAACAAAATGAAAATCCCTGTAAAAATCTTCGTCCTTGTCTTGTATTTTACAATGATGAGGTGTAACTCGGCATGTAGGTACACGTTCGTTAATAAATTTTGCTGCAACMTCCGCTTTGGAACTGTTTACATCTTTCTTACGGAACAAAAACTGACGGTTCAAATTAGACAAGTCTATAGTGTCCATATCTATAACATGTATGTCACCGAATCCCATCATTGCAAGATCTTTAAGTAATTCACAGCCCAATCCACCAGCGCCAACCACAAGCACTTTACAGGAATTTTGTAAAAATTCTAATATGCCTGTGCCAGGTTCAAAATCAGGATGACAGAATGGACTGGAACGTTCCAAGATCTTTTTCAAATGACTCCATCTTCTGTGATCATTGTCAGACATTTTGATGATTTTAAATTGAATTGCAGATTTTTTTAAGTAATTATAATTTATAAATAATTTGAACACTTTTTAAACAGAATATAAAGAGAGCATTAAGTTAAAAATAATATTTTATAACACTATGAAGTATGAAATATATTATGGGTCACTATGTCAGTGATTCCTTGATTCTTAATACTTTATAATTGCGTTTATATTAYAATTATATAAATAATATAATATGATATTATAATTCAAAACCAGACACCAGTGTTTACTGATAAAAATAATTTGTATTATCTGATAAAAACTTTGAATATTTAAAAATATCAATCGTTAATTTAATAACTGCATAAATAGGTAGTTTTACGAGTATAAACCATACGTTGGTAAAGTCTTAAAATTATTTTTGTGTGGCGTGTGCGGCAATATATTATTATTTTATTAGAGAAATGGATCATTAAATATTAATTTTATTAAWAATTCGGTAATATTAATATTATATTAGTTACGATATTAGGCATATCATGTTAGTTAACTATCCTTACTCCTTATGGCTTAGATCAGTTATAGAATCTATCTATATGGATCATCATACTTTAATATTAACCAATTTATAACGTTTTTCAATCACTACTTTTTTTTCCAGAAAGTTTATGACTGACCAGTGATTACTGATGAGGCTGAATGCTGATAAATAAAGCCGTCCCTAATATTCCCAAACAACAATCATGTGGACAGTGCTCAAATTGTGGGGGAGGGGTGCGCCTGGAAACGGAGCTCCCATACTATTTTTATTTTGCGTACCCCTACTATTTTGTTTTACTTAGACGGGGGGACGGAACAAACTAATCTGAAATAATTTTTAATTGATGTCAATTATATAAAATTTTTAACATTTTTCATATCAAAATTATTTTTAAWATTATAGTTTAATAATTTATTATATCTTTTCTACACAGTTTAAGATATACGGATTAATATCTACTGCTTTTCTACGGTCCACGGGTCCTTATTAAACCGTTATGTTAAATCATGAATACGCAACGGTAATAAATCAGCTGACGAAGTATGCTGTCAAAAAAGAAATGTAAATGATGAAGAAGTGAWGAACATACTTATYAAAATATGTGGTCTCTTTTAAATCGAAAACATTAATATTGTTATCTGTTTTGTATATTGAATAAATATGTAGATTATTCTAATTTCTAATTATCTATTTAATTGTAATATTTGGAATTCAAATATGTGTAGCTGAAAAGTGGTAGGTATTCAAAATGTACGCAAGGTGGGTGGTGGGGAAGCCCCCCACTGGTCCGTGTTGATTAATTGTGCACTTGGAACGCAGTTTTTAAATCGTAGGATTGAGCTACTATATTTAATTTTTCCCAATTCGAACACTGCATTAATGTGGAGGTAGAAGATTGACCTATAMATTTCCCGAGTCAATAACTGTTTTTACCGCCTCGCTCGAAACTTATTGCTATAATATTAAAGATACTATTAGCTAATATTTATATATTTCCAATTGTTCGTGTGAAAATAAATTATAAAAATGTAATATTTATCATACTTTTACAACTTCCAGTCAAACTACCAACTTTTTTTTTCATTTTTTCAGACGCCTTTGAAAAACTAATGGATGTTTTTATTTTAAACCTCCAAGTTAAGCTAGTTTACTAGGGTAACTTCTCTACTGGAAATTTTTTTATCAGAGCATTTTTACTGCCCCAAAAAGCGATGACGGACACAAAAATAATATAATAATAATAAATCTAAAAAACTCATCTTATAAAATCAATATATTCGTCGTTCAACTCAGAATCTAAAATATCCTACTCATATAAAATATTATAGTCGTAAAATTAAAAAAAATATATATAAATAATATTTTAGACTAACATAATTTAAATTTTAAATTACAAACCAAAATGGTTCTTGACTTCGTGTCATATCAAACATTTCAAACTATGATAAATGTTACTTAAGTTGTTTAATCGTGTTTTAAACAGACCAATATTTTAACATTTATTAATTATAGTTTCCTACTTTTACAAAGTTAAAATCATTAAATCGTATTAATTTTGAATATTTGTATGCTGATACTATTTTWACACAGACTTATAACTTTGAATATAATTAATATTTTGTCAATTCTTGTACAATACAAAAATATGTATATGTTAATATTATGATACGTGTTAAATATTATTTTCTATTAAGAGTACGTAACAACGGAATTTGTTGTCTCCGTCTTACCAGTGCGTAATACCTATAGCAAATTTACACTCAGCAGAACACTTATAGCTCCTTTAGTTTATAAATTACAGTGAATCGACCTATTATGAAACTTGATGGTAAAAACATTATCTGTGTTAGTACGTTGGTTTTTTACAATTTACGATAATTCAATTTTTGAGTGAGTTATGAGCATATAATATATGTATAGTACATTAAAAATGCTCATGACTCACTTAAAAATTGAACTATCGTAAAAAACCAACGTACAAACACAGATAATGTTCTTACCTTCAAGTTTCATAATAGGTCGATTCACTGTAATTTATAAACTAAAGGAGCTATAATTGTTCTGCTGAGCGTAAATTTGCTATATTACGTACTGGTAAGACGGAGACAACAAATACCACTGTTACGTACTCTTAATTGCATTTAAAAAATGTATTAAAAACCCCTTTATAAGTAATAAATAGGCAATTAAATATGCAGTATCATCTGATCAGGAGAGAGAAGACTTACCGTGATAATAATTTATTTATCGGAGTAGTCTTGCAGCTGTTGCTTCATTGGCTGTTTGTTCTTTGGTCGTAAACAGTTTAAAGGTACATTCTATTTCATATTTTCTACTTCCGGGTTCATTTWTATTTTCTCAAAAAGTTATAAAAATGTCGTGTCTAAGTGTAATTTCTCGCAATTTCTCCACTTCATTTGTGGCCCGTGCAGCGATTAAAAATGTCACAGTGGTCGGAGGTGGTTTAATGGGCTCAGGTATCGCCCAAGTATCTGCTCAAACTGGTCACAATGTGACGATTGTTGAGCTCAACCAGGAAGTTTTAGACAAAACTCATAAGAGCATTCAACAGAGTTTACAAAGGGTCGCTAAAAAGGTTTATAAGGAAAAGCCTCAAGAAGGTGAGAATTTTGTTTCAGAAACTTTATCAAGAATAAGTACTTCCACAAACTTAACTGATGTAATACAGAGTTCAGATTTGGTGTTGGAAGCCATTGTTGAAAATTTGGCTATCAAGCACAAACTTTTTAAGTCCATAGATGACATAGCGCCAGCAAAGACTATATTTGCTTCCAATACTTCATCATTGTCTATTGGTGAAATTGCATCTGTCTGTAAGAGGAAAGACAAATTTGCAGGGTTACATTTTTTCAACCCTGTACCAGTGATGAAATTATTAGAAGTTGTCAGAACTCCGGAAACATCTGATGAAACTTATGAAAAATTAATGGCTTGGGCAAAAGCTATTGGTAAAACAGCTATTACTTGCAAGGACACCCCTGGATTTGTAGTCAACCGACTTCTTGTTCCATTGATCGCTGAAGCAATTAGAATGTTGGAAAGAGGTGATGCTTCTTCTAAAGATATTGACATAGCCATGAAGTTAGGCGCAGGACACCCAATGGGACCTATTGAATTGGCAGATTATGTTGGACACGATACTACAAATTCAATTTTAAACGGATGGCATGATAAATTCCCAGAGAATCCATTGTTCAATCCACTACCAACTTTACAAAAATTGGTTGATGAAAAAAAATTGGGTGTCAAGACTGGTGAAGGATTTTATAGTTATAAGAAATAATATTTTCTTTTAAAATTATTGTTTGGGGGCAGGAATATTATATTAATTTAATTTATATACTTACTGAAATTTATTGTAGTAATAATTGAAAAATCAAATTATTGGGCGTGTGATCTGCGGAAAACAGTAAATAACTAGTTGAATAAAAATTATGAATAAATATGTAATATTATGAAATGTATATAAAAAAAAGGAATTCAATTAAAAAAATAACTATATTTAATACATTAAAGTTTTTTTGTGTCTACTAAACGATTGATACAAATAGTTAGTATTAATCAACATTTCTATGAAACATACTATTTTTTTTATATCTTCCAAAAATTTATAAATACAATTTTCCGATTCTTTATTGAGYGGTACCAATACTCAATTACATGGTGTGGTAAAAGATTTTCATAAGTCTCATGCATTTTTCTTAATATATAAAATTAATTAATAGTAGACCACGTCAGAACCGGTAGATCACATGCTTTACCAATGCCAATTATTGTTATATATACAATGTTTTATTTAAATAAAGCAAAATCTAACAAAATGTATGTTCATTAGTTTTAAATATATATATATATCTGTTTAAATAAATAGATTTGCATTAATTTTTTAAATAAATATCTTCCTCAAATCCAAATTTATGTTTAAAATTATAATTATGAAATATATACTTGTCTGATTAGTGATAACTAATAAATAAATGTAACATTGACCAGCCTAATAGAGAATAGTTTGATATTCAGTCAATTATTGAACTACTAGAGAATTTCCACAATTAGTTTTCAATAAAAATTAATTTTTACTTGTAAGTTAGCCAAATGATGGTATTTTTAATTTAACATTTTTGCTTTGTTTTATTTTTGTAATTTTTATGTTAATTAGGATTTAACAGCTCACTAAACTAATGTAAAAATTAGTGCATTAAGTTACTTACATAGTATATTTAATGTTATAAAATACTAGTTACTATTGGAAAATAAAATGTAAGCGATCCCAGAAAGTGGATATCTCTAGTTCCAAAAAAACTAACGCAAGTGCATCATATATATAATGCATATCAAATTCAAACAATTTTTTGAGGAAGTGGGCTATTATAATATTATGGATGACATCAGTAATATCTACTTTTTTAAGTAACATTAATACTTAGATTTACTATAGGTATAACAACCTACCTCATAGATAAATTATAATAATCCAATTGTTTCAACTCACACTCCGTTACCCCCCTTTTTTTCCTTTTATATACCAGGAACAGGTGGGAACTGTTTAGCACAATACTGCCACCCGAACCCAACACTCCGTTACTCCTGTGATAATCAATATGTCGCTCTTGAGACCAGGGTTACTCTGGTCATAGTGCACCGTAATTTATTATTATTCAATAATTTAATAAACTTTGTATATGTTACTGTATTGTGTTAGTCCATGAACGCTGGTCATAAGTTTCTAGGACCAGTAAAATATAACTTGGGAAATTTTATTTGTATTGATCCTTAAACACGGTTTTTAAGACCGGTTCATGTAGTAGGAATACCTAACCAACTACTCATCAACTGGATAGAATTTGGTATAAATAAATGAGGTAGGTGTGTTGCAATGGTTATTAGTTTGGTTAAATTATTATTTTCAACACTTTAACGCGTATGAATTATAAAGACTTTTATTAAAGTTTCCGTATTAAAAATATGTATTATTCGCAAATCTGAAATATCCTTTGATATGTTTCTTGAATAAAAATACAATAATGGGTAAATCTTAATTATAGGCTTATGCTTAATAATTTTTTTTTTTAAATTGAAGAAAAAAATTTTTAATCAACATAGCGGCATTTTTTTTTTTAATGCTGTAAAAGAAACATTTTGATAAATAGTATATGTACTTCACAATTTTGAAGCAAAAACAGAAATAACTTAAATAAGATGTTTAACAATGACATWATCTTATAAACTTAATTTAAATATTAATTTGAAAGATAATATACTTAACACATGTGCAATCAAGATTGCAATTTAATGTATCAAAACATTGTATTATAAATGTATATAATATGAACAGTTAATTTTATTTGATTTCTACCAAAATAAATTAAACTAAATCCTTTATAACAATAACAAAATGGTTTTAATAATATAAAGCAGTTAGTGGTAAATTAAAATAGTTAAAAATAAAATATAATGTGTTTTTAGCCTTATATGAGATGACACAAAGTTTCTCTTACGCAGTGGCGCCGAAGTCTATGTTGAAGTCGGGCCATGGCCCGACCTCTTTTTTTAAAAATGTGGCTGGTAGGCCGCTTTATATTAACATCATATAACTTTTATTATGAATAAATGTATATTTCACACCCCTACCCCAAATTTGAATACTTTTTTACGTCAATGGATATTGAGGCCGCCAAGTTTTAAAATTGCCCGACCACATTTTAAAAACTTCGACGCCACTGCTCTTACGACTTGAATTCTTGTAAAAATTGTTAATAACTTACATACAGATAAATCAAATGAAACAAACATATTACTAGATTAATGATTATCTTGATAATTATTTTCTATGCAATACCAGTGTTTCCCAATCTTTTTGATGTAGTAACCCACAATTAGAACGTAATATAATGTAATATATTTGTGATCTCTCCAAAAAATGTTGGTATCCAAATTTGGCTGAGAAACACTGCTGTATCACACATAATAAAATAGGCAAAAAGTATGTTACTATCATTCATTAAATATTTAAATTAAATTGTTTATGTTTGAAAACAAAGTTAAACATTTCAAGTAACTGTAGTGATGGCCAGTTTCAAATATAAATTACATACATTATAATAGCATCAACATTATTACAATATCCAAATTATTAAAAAATATTTTGCACCATACATTTTATTTTAGATATTTTAGGAAAGTGTAAATTATACAAATTTTAAGTAATTTACAACTAGAGATGAACGTGTTAGAATTGGTCCTTTGTTAATACGTTGTAGAGTTAACAAAAGGTGAATTCACTAAAATATAATAGTATCATTGAGCCTTTTATACAAAAAACATGTTTATGCTATTTAAATGCTAGAATTTTTGATAAGATCATAAATAATATTTCACCTAATATATTATAAAAATATGTATTTACAATCAAAGACATTCAAAAGATTAACTTCTTCCTTTAATATTATATATATATTTTTTGATTTTAATACATAATAGTATGTAAATAATTCATACATAGGGTGTAAGAAAAATAGAGCATAAAAAACAATAAAATAGTATAAACCGGGGTGGTGGAATACTATGCACTATTTAAATTTTGTTTTAAAATTAAATTTTATATAAAATTGTTAAAAATATACATTTAACTAATTAACTAATGCAAAGAAGCCAAGTTAATGGAATGCAAATATTGAGGTATAAATATCAGTAAMAATAAATAAAATAAACAAGTATTATTACCCAAAATTATTAACAATTATTTATGATGCAACAGTCTTACAGTTAAAATACACTATTGAGGAATTAATAAAAAATGAAAAACAAAAATATGACACATATTAAAAACTATAAATGAATGAGTAACATTTTATAATTTTGAATATTCCAAACATTTTGGACAAAACAATTTTTATAGATGAATATTATATATTAAAACAGTTATAAAAAAATCTATAACATACATTTATATTAAACTATATAATATGTTTACTATTCTTAAATACTATTTGCAGTAAAAATTATTTTGAACATCATTTATATTCATGTATTRATACAAATGATCGTTTGTAATAATAATATTAAAAAAAAAAAAAAATAATAATAATAATTAGATATAAACAGTTGAAATATTAAATAAATGTATCATATAATTATTCCACCAACCAGGGACTATTAACTTTTAAATACTCAATAATTCTTATACCCTGTATAATACTACCTATATTATTTTATTACTTTGAGAATTTTAATTTTTAAATTCATTCTGACAACAAAAATAATCAGTCACATAAAATTAAAAAAAAAATAAATAATAATAGTTAATAACTTAATTATGATAAATAAATATACATACATATATATATTTATAAACACACAAATAACTTATTATTTGGTCTTCGAATATAATTTAAATTACAAACACATCATYAAGTTGTATAAACATATACTCCACGGTTGTTCAAAAATAGACTTAAAAAAATATGCCTTTAAAACAATTTTGAAATAAAAAAAAGCTAACCCAAGTAAAAAAGTTTTACTTGAGAAGTTCAAAGTCATAGCAGTGTTGAGAAAAAATAGAAAGATATAATACATGATTAAGTTAAAAAAATTTAAATGTTTTGCATGGTACAACATAAAAATATGTCTATAAAACAATTAATTCACAAATAAAGTAAAAAAAAGGTTTTAAGTTGATACTTATAAATAAGTGTGGGGACATATACATACAATTTGTTCCACTTCACGTAACAGTAATTAATAACTTTAAATAGGTTATTCATCAAGTTTTCTTTTTTTCCCTCTAGTATCTTGTGAGTCTGTAAAAATTAATTTTTATTATGGATGTTGAATGTTAACAATTATTGATTTTTTAATATTGATATACATAACATAATACATTGGAAACAAGGACAATAACATAATATATTAGCTAAATGTTCCTAAATTAACAGCATTAAATGGCAGATATTTTTATTTATTTCATTATATTAAGAGTATAATATTTTGAAGAATAGGCTGCCACATTTGGTGCAGTTTATTTTATATTACCTACTGTGAAAAGCTTATGAGAGTGAGTGTTTAATTGCAAATACCTAATAATCAAATAAACATATTTATAAATGGTATAAACACTTAGTCGCAACCTACTTTTATTGCTTACGGATGTGACCCACAGGTTGAAGACAGCTGATATGTGGCATGATTAGAAATCAGTAAAAACCAACACATAAGTTAATTTCCTAAAATTTTCCCCACAAATTTAGGTCATGATCATAACTAATTTTTATAAATTTATTTTGATACAACCGTTTCAGATGATTTTGAGTCAAATAAGCAACTGAGCTTTATGTTTGTCAGTCTTATAAGCGGCATCTACTGTGTATGATATTAAAATTTTTTTATAGCCATTTATCTTACACTAAAATTGGATGAGATAAAAATTTAAAATAAAACAAAATCATTAAATACATTCTACACAACAATAATGAATCTTTATATATAATTCTACTGTACGTGTGTATGTCGCTGAACTCCTAAACAGATTTGAATGTATTTTTTTGTATGCGTTTGGAGGACGCCTTGGATGATTTAGATTCACAAATCAGCCCTGCAGATCGTTCCAGCAGTTTAGGAGGAGTTCAGTGACATACACACGTACAGTAGAATTATATATACAATGGAAATTTTTGTTTATAGATGGTTGCTATTAGTGCTAAAGAAATTATTATACCTACATTTGTTATTATTMTTTGTTTCCATGGCATTACAAGTTTTTATCGATATAAAATACATAGTAATATATACTATATACATATCTAGTAATACATTTAATGCCATTTCTGTAAAGTTATGCCTCCCAAAAAAAGATCAATTGGTAGTTCTACACCTCAAGTACGAAAGGAAATGGCAATACGAGCTTCAAAAACAATCGAGTGAAGAGATGTAAGATTGAAAACCGCCAAAGAATGTCAAGCCTGATTCCGTTCATCTAAAACAACTGAGCAACGAGAAACAAGATTGGAAACCTATATGATATATATGAGTGTATATCAACAAAATGATGCATCAGTCGATTTCGCAAAACAATTACGGGAAATGGGGAATGGTAAACTAGCTATTGATGAATCAACACAATGCATAACATTCCCAACTAATTTCTGTAAAACAAAGCAACAACCAATGAGTTAATTAACAAGGTTTTCCCAAATCTACTAAAAAATTATGGAAATTGTCAGAGTTAAAGTTTGGTGTGCCCATCATTCTTCTACAAAACATCAATCCTCTATGATTCTGCAACGGTACCAAGCTTTCAGTGAAAAAGTTGATGAATAACATTATCAAAACTACAATTTTAAATGAAAGTTTAAAGGCAAATTGAGATGTAAAAAAGATGTACTGTTGCTACACATCCCAATGACCATCAATAAAGCACAAGGAGAATCACTAAAAGTGTGTGAATTGAATTTGGAAAATCCATGCTTTTCACACGAACACATGTCGCAAAACCTTCAGATTTATCTGTGTATGTATCAGAAGAAAGAACAAAAAATATTGTGTATCCAAATGCATTTCAATAAATATCATTCAATTGAATACTTGAATTGTCAGACTTTTATTGATAAAACAAATAAAATTATATAATAATAAACTAAACTGATTGTCAGTGTAAGATTATTAATATTTTTATTAATATTACTTAGTATATTTAAACCATCATCTATCTATATGATAAAAAAATACTGCTAGCATAATCACAAGTAACAAATTGAATACACAGTTTGAGACATTTAAGAGGTAAGCTTTTTAACGGTCTATAAAGTGCACAGGTTCAGCTAGTATTATATAAATACAGAATACAATAATATACAATATTTTAAAACATAATTGGTTTCACTAGTATATTAAAAATTAGGTTATTATTGGGAAAATTAATTAAGTCCTATTGTGCAGTATAGTGAGATCAATATCAAAAAGAAATAAATATCACCATATTCATAAAAAAATACATATTGATTTAATTTCCGTCCATCTATTATCTTGTTTGAAAACATTTGTTCATGCCTATACAAATATCGAATAAGACAAATTTAAGTTAGCTAATAAAAAAGTAAATACGCACCATTAGCAGTAGTATCATMGGCTTCACCTGCATCATCATCATCATCATCACTTTCATCAGTAGAATCTTGATCTACACCATCTTCCTCATCTAATACATAATCATTTCCTTCGCTTTCTTCATCAATATTGTCTTTTAACAAGTCTTCTAAGCCTCCTTCACCATTTTCATATTCTTGGTCAGATGATTGATCAGATGATTGGTCATCAGTATACACATTTTCTTTTTGAACTTCATCACGATCGACATCATCATCATCATCGGCATCGTCATCATCATCGTCATCATCGTCATCATCACCACCTTCACCTTCTTCTTCAGCTAAAATAATCAATTATCCATTTTAATATAAGTAAATTATTAACAAAAAAACACCAAGTAAAATTTTACCTTCAGATTCTGAATCTTCTTCATCACTGTCACTGGCAGATTCGTGTTTGCCATTGAAAAAAGTATCCCTAAATAATAAATATTTAAATTTAATATGTTCTAAACTGAGGTTAAYAATAACTAAATCATACCCATCTAAACATTTAATAGTCTTGGAAAAATATTCTATCACATATTCTTTGTATCCTTCTTCTTTAGTTACTTCATTGTTAGATAAATCTAAATACTTAAGACGTTTTAGATGTTTCTATATATATATATAAAAAAAAAATAGATATAGATATATATAAATGTTTTTGGTAAAATTTTTTTGTGATTACTAGTATCAATGATAATTTACCAATGGATCAATTGCTTCAATATCTTTCAATTTATTTTGACAGAGATTCAATGATCTGAGATTAGTACAACCACTGAGGTTTTGAAGACTATTGGAAATTCGATTTTCACTGAGATCCAACTAAAAATAATTAAATAACAATAAATTAAATGGAAAATTATACAACTTTAATTTTACAGCAAAACTCACAAAAACAAGTGATGGCAATGCTGGAAAACCTTTTAAGCTTGTTAAACCAACATTGATTATACTAAGGTTTCTTAAACTAACATATTCATCTGTAAGACCAACTATTGCAGTACTACGACAATCATCCAAAATCAATGCATCTATCTAAACAAACAAAAAAAAAAGATACAATTTATTGAGGATATAAGTTTTTATGTTTGAATAAAATTTCAGTATAAGCAGGTACAATATACATTCACAGAAATAACTCTTTAGGCTCAAAAAATACTTTTAGTGGCAATAAAAGCAGTTGGGGACTTCATTCTTTATTATTTTTTATAAATTCCACACTTAATAAATAAAATTTTCAGGTGTTACATGTTTGCACCACTTTGGCACCCCTTTAGGTGTCCCTGTTTGGAGCAATTTCATAAAAAGTAATTAAGATCTAATGGTTGAATGATCATCAATGATTAAATGGATACATTAATAGTGGGGACTAGTTCCAGGCATAAAATGTCTCTTTAGGGAAACTAACAATTTACTAAAAATTTAAAAAACAATAAATCAAATAATCAAAATACATGAATACATGATCTATATTGTTTTTAGTGACCATTTGAAAAAGGCAAGCATCTGATCTTGAGTTATTTATAGATATCAGGTACCTAATTATAATTATATATTATACCTAACATATTTCTTCTTTAGACACTGATTAACAACTTTATTATAGTGAGTTTGAGCATTTATAATTTATTTTAAGTATCATAGGACAATAAATCATACAAGAGATAATGATTTATACAATAATGTAATGACCTAGAGTATGGTCACTAGCCAGTAAAACCTGAACGGACAAACGTGGTGTAGTGGATTAAAATATTGTATAATTGTCGAGATTATTATGCCATTGCGGTTCAGCGTTACACAAAATACCTATATTAATATACAGTACACGCATGTTATACACGATAAAAATATATGTACAAATAAATAATATTTGTCGTGCGTGTAGTATTTAATTTAGCAACAATTCGAATTAGATCGATTTATTTAACGCATTTGAAGTGAAAAATCACTTCACGACGAGGTATTCAAAATTTAAACATGGCCGCTGGCCAAATTACTCCCCTTACCGCCCCCCCTGAAAATCATGAGAGCACACCACGCGCCGACGCGCACAGAGTAGTAGGTACACGGTAACCTGTGAGCTGTGAGTCTMGACTTGGATACTCGATGGCGTTTGCGCGCCCGCGCACGATGCACACGCACACACAGACACCTGTCCGTCCAATCGCTTTCGTTGTTATATCGATAGCTTTAATTAAAACCGTCGCGGCGGAGGCGCATCGTCGATTTATATTTTACAATAAAAATATAATATAGTACAAAAATAGAGGTTAATGGTTACACCTTACACGATGCAATACACATGGCTGTTAGCGACAATTATCAAACAGCGTAGAATTTTTCCGCCGAGAAACATCTGGTAATAAATAACGACCAAACCACTAATAAGTAATAATCCCAAAAATGAAATGATCGATAACGCCGCGGTAGTTTTCAAACCTCAAGTTAAATATTAATTAAACGGGAAGAAATTACAACGTTATATTGAATGTATTCCCCGTCAATACCATTTCAACCGATTTGCGCGCGGTTCAAGTGCAACACGCCGCACACACACACACACACGCATACAAGCATGCCGGATGGCGGCAAGAGATCGCGCGCGCGTTGTACTAATTTAAAAAATATCTTTTGGCGAACAATTCTAAATGTCTCTATTTTACCTCATCGGCATTTCGTCCCCGTTTCTCCAGTTCGATTCTCTTCTCCATGCCGGTGTCGGTATCAGCGTCGGCGTCCGTCTTGGCGATTATTATAGAAACTATGTGCTTTTAATCTACACACGCGAGCCGGCGAACCACGTACAGGACGACGGCTGTTAAGGGGTGACGGATATTAAGTCACACGTTCGATAGCACCGTCTGAGAGGAGCACAACGACTGAAGAATGAGTGCGGACGCGAATTCGATAAATCAAAAGGCTCGACGACAGGTACACACGCCTCGTTATTGGAGGGCAGACAGGCGCTTTTCCGGTTTCGGGAATCGAGTGAACAAAAAACTTTCTTATAGGCCGTTGTCGAAAAAACCCGAAAGCGTCGAGGGCTTAAACAGTAGTCGGAGAGCGAGCTATACAACAGTAACACACGTACACACACACACACACACACACACACGGGGATAACAATAATGCGGTACCTACTACTGTAACAGACAACAGTGCAAGTGCGAATGCGACGAATGCGTAAAACACGACGTTCACTCGCGTAGTCGCGTCACACGCACACATCAACATAAATACACCATAACCACTAGCGCCTGTGGTGCCTACAACTGCAACGCACGGGCAAACAAGTCGGGGGCGCAGGCGTACGCACTACRCGCACCTCGATAAGGTTTTGCGGCACGAACGTTCACGTTAATGGTAAATACGTAAACGCACTACACTGCGCGTGTGTACACCGGAAACCCGTCGCGGCGTCGTGGATCGAGTTTCGTGATACCATAGAACAATAGTGATACTGGCGTAGCCGCAGAACAGAATATAGATGAATAGCAGCCTTAAGTAGCCACTTAGCCAGCGGTTGTGGACDTTGTGGTTACACACAATATTATGCTGAAACCGTGAAACTAAAGGCGATAAGCGATAAGTCGAGAATATTATTCATTTTCATTGCAGGAATTGCAGCTGAAACGCTTAAAGCTTATGTAGTTGACGGTTGTACCCATAACACATTGACCAGTGACCACACAATACACCAAATAGGTATAGACGTATAGTAGATACCTAAACTGTAATATAACTTTTTATGTATCAAATTAATAAATGTTATTAACACCTAAATAGTAAATTTTGAACAGTTGTACGAGTGTATAGCAAGGTAAATATAAAATGATTATTATTATTTAAATGTTTAAATTGATTTATGATTTGTCTTTTGTCTGCTGTCAATATTTAAGAGTGGCTTACAATTTTAAGATTATAGGAAGTGGCTATTTAGTTTTAATTTTAACGACTTCTTTTAATATAGACCAATTGAATAGCTAACGTAATATTAATTCGCTATTAACTAGTTTATAAATCAGTAAATAAGAAATTAACGCAGACTACAAAGATTTTTGCATGGTATCTACAAATTAGATTTAATATTCATTGACTTTTAAAAATATGTCATATTTTAAATATCTATTAAACTTATTAATGTATACTTTAGTACCTATGTTTAGAATGAGTAATATTCCCCCAAAACATATGTGTGTCATCATAGCAGCATCAAGTCAATTTTCAGTTTTTTTTTTTAGTAAAGAAAATAGTAATTATATTTTGTTTATTAATTCCAAATAATAAACCATAAAAATTAGATTTTAACTAATTATCATTTTAATGTAATATTGTGTACTAAATTAACTAAATATTTATTAACTAAAGTGTTCTTAGTTTATAATACTGCTAAAAATAAGTCTATTGCGCAATAGACATATATCCATATATCCATGAAAAAAAATAAAATCTACACCCTAGAAACCAATTTGATTTTACAAAATCAAATTTTATATGAAGTTGACATTATAACATTGACATAATAACCACACAGCAACAATAATAAAGCTGCTTATTTACCACTATTTTTAAATTTACTTATATATATATATTTCAGATTATGGAAACTGACAAAATTTCCATTTTAGAAAAATGTGTTGCTGCCTTAGAACTGAAAGTATTCGGTATAAACAAAGATGCACAAGCTGCTCTGCCGAGTGGTAGCCTTCTTGAAGAAGTGAAACAAGTTGACAATAACATTGGTAATGCATGTATTGGTCATCCATATGCTACTGCTTTACTCAGCCATGTAAAACTTTTGGACAAGTTGATGGATCCTTTTTATGAAGACTATCAACCAGAATTRTCTAAACGAGAAGTTATACTTTCTGCTGAAGCTGAAATAATTGGATATGCTCAACAACTTCAACAGCTTAATGAAAAGTGGCCAGCTCTAAATGATAAGTATTACAGTGAAATAGACAAGCATACTGAAGAAATTGAAATATTGGTTGAGAATGAACGCAAACAACGTGAATTAATTAAAGAACAAACTGAACACATACACACATTATTATTCAGGTGAAATGAAAAAACATTTATCATATTACATTAAAGATTCCTCTAAATGTTTGTTTTGTATGATTATTATAGGTATGAACAGCTTATGTTAAAATTTTCAGTGGCGTTTGATTCATTAGAGAAAGAAATTACAGTATTAGAGTATAAAGTTTCAAAAAAACCAGAAGAAGATGATGAAGATGGTAWTTAATGTTAATGCCAGTGTTAATTATATGTATTGAAAATATAAATATTTAACTTTTATTACATATTTGTATATATCACAACTTGTTAATAAATAACTTGAAACATTTTTATAAAATAAATTAAAATATTTATATAGCTGAATACCTTCGACTAAATCTTAACCAATATTGTATTTGAGACTTTTTATCAAAAACAAATCAGTTGTTCTAAACTTCATGAGAAAAGCCTTTTACTTACATACATTACAAATATGCATTACAATACATAATAGAAATTTAAAGCTTATACCAAGTTAAAATTAATCCTAACATTTTTTTACTAATGTCAATTTGGGCTTGAGGCTAGCTCATTTAGTCCATTAAGTATGCTGCTAAGGCATCAAATAGACATAAAATTCAAAATTTTAATCCATCTCAATATAAATAATAATGAGAGCTAGGGAGTACTAGCATTTTAAATATTACACTTTGTTCTAACCTCCATATTAAACTTCTATTTGCAATTCCTAACATTTTATTTTTAAAAAAAGTTCTTACATTTGCATATATAAATTAAACTAGAAATGGTATAGGTAWAGTTGACATCCACCCAAGAAATGTTCTCCCTCTACTCAGTTTTTAGATGACGCTTATCACTTAAATTTCTTGTATTTCTGATGTTCTAATTATCATACTRTATTATAGTTTAATAAATGATGAAATTCAATAAGATGATCAAAATGTTTTATGTATTTGTTAATCAAACGGTCTACAACTAAATTATAATAATTAATTCAAATTCATTAATATTAAATAATTAATTACCTACACAAATAAATATGTACTTAATATCAAATACAATTCAAAAGTAATCCTATGAACGAATAAAAATATAATAAGTACATAATTACTATTAATTAATAATGATTAATACAAACATGTATGAGATACTGAGTAAAAAGTAATATTTTAATTTTCTAAATAACACGTTCTAAACTTATAATATCTATAATATTATATTCAATAATATAACTATTTTTATAAATTATTTATTATATTCATAAATAATATTTGATATTTCTAATTATTATTATTTTTATTTTTTTTATAAAATTAACTTTTACTAAATAAAATATATTTAAAAAATTTGGTCTTAGGAAAAAGTCAAACTAATTATAAATTTAATAAAAGATATGTAGAACTCAAGAGATAAGTAAAAAGATAATTCAAGAGATAAGTGATGGAAGAATACTTTCTAGGTGTGTGYCTACTAGACCAATACCCTAAAGGCCTGAAAACTATGGTAGTACCTGCACTCTATTTAAATATGCTTGTTATATGTAGTTCTTTTTTATACCAATTGAATATATTCTGAATAAATGTATAATATTGGATAGTTAAATGAATAAATATTTTCAGTATTTGAATAAAAAAATCTGTTTTAGATTTAAGTTAATGCAAATAAGTAAAAAAATAAAAAAATAATATAAACCTAAATATTTTTTTTATGTTAGGAACAGCATACAAAAATAAAATTTAACAACATTGTAATAACAATTATCAAGTCACTATTTAGTTACTGAACTAAAAAAATGAATTCAGATAGTAATTGATCTATTCATAGAAAAAGTTGATGTTGGAGGGAAGCTTGCCTTGTGCTTTAGCTTTATTAACATTTGAGTTAAATTCACTGAAATCTACATATGGCAGTATAGCTTTGACTGAACCGCTAGATGGATCTGTTGAAGTTGATGTTGTAGTTTCAGTAAAGTTTACAGCTGTATCTAAAAAAAAAAAAAAATTTTTATCCAAAACATTAAGTAATTTATACTGTTAATCTCAACCTTGATCATATGAGCCATTCCAGCTATGTTGTTGCTCAGTAATTGCATTAGGCATTGCAAAATTGAAATTGCGTATCATTAACATAATATTTGGACGAGTAGCTCCAATAGCATTATCTTGTGCTTCATAAGTATCATGATATATTCTAGCTATATGATCTACAACAGCTTGAGCAACACCAGTTAATGTAGACTGTACTCGCAACTAAGGAGATAAAATAWTTACAATAATGGATGTTGAATCACACATTAATGTATTTACTTGTTCAACTACTAATAGTGCTAACTCCTTGTTCACTTGATTAGTGCCTGTGGCTTCTTCTAAAGTTTTTAGTAAACCTGGAGAAGCAATCATCATAAATCTGTAAATTGTATATTAATTAATTTTCTCATTTTTAAAACAACTGAAACAATTTACCTGTACGATGAATCAATAGTAATACCACCAACAATGTGAGGTTCAGCTATAACTGGTTCAGCTGAAGCTGCACTAAGTTCTTCATAGTCTTTATAGGCACCTTTTATCATGTAATTACACAAACATCTTGTTGATGATTGATTTCCAATCTTTCTATTACCTAAACAGTTTTATAAAGTTGTGCCTATTCTTARATATAGTTTAAATGATCTAACCATTGATTTTTCCATCAGAAATATTGAGTCCAAGATTTGTCAGCCTCATCACTTCATCTAAATTTGTCAGGTTATGATCAACTGTGGGCTGTATCACCCTCATTACATCGTCTTTATCAGTTTTACACAGCAATACACGACTTTCTCCAACATTTGCAACATACAAACGATTATTTTTAAGTATTGCTATAGATGCTCCAGTACCACACGACAATTCTTCTTCAAGTTCCTTTAATTTTTCTATCTAAAAAAAAATCTATTTACTTCTTACACTTTTACAATGAGTAATATGGAATATTATCAAGATCAAAATTACAATTTGAGGATATTGTTGGTAAGCATCATAGTGTGATATTCCTTCAGGAAGTTGAAGTAGTAAGTTCGCTCTTTGAAGTAATTTATTATCAATGGTTTCAAGATAAGTCCCCTCAACAGAGAGAAAACTTTGTCTATAATTTTATAATGTTTTCTTAAAATGTATTTTAATTTATGTTAATTAAATTAATGTTTATTTCTTACTGAATKATTTCTTTAGCAGTTTGGTCCATTTCAGTAGTAGGTAACTGGCCTAATAAAATTTCTGCAGCAATACGATCACGAGCAAACCGTGCTGTTTCTGCTCCATTATGACCATTAAAAATTCCATACAACCAAACAACACCTGCATCATCATAACAACATCGAAGACTGATGTCTTCAGATTCCAGTTCCTCTCGGCGTTGACCTAATTCATCATATCTTTGACGAGTTAGGTACCCTACACCTAAAATATACTTTCATAATAGAGCCAAATAGGGTGTTTAAAAAAAAAATATTGTGTTCATTTTATACACACCTGATACTTTGCAAATTGGTAAATCATCAGTCCAACTACGATCGTAATTAAATATAAGTTTATTGTATTCTGGACCACCTTCAAGGATAGTCGGCATTTTTAAATAAAAACTATTGGTCCACAAATATTTAAGACACTAGAGTAATATTTTCTAAATTATAAAACTAAACATGTAGATATTCATAATATCAATATTTAGTTGAATAATTAATGTATGCAATATGAATCAGTAATCCCTACAATATTGAAATATTGAATATAATATATTAATATATTATAAATATTTATATTTATTACTTATGCTTTATCAATAATTATTATCATTGGTTTTAAAACTCTGATTACCGAATAAAAAGTTTTCATTGAAAACCATAGACATTAGATATTTAGATAATATTTTCATTTATATTGTCATTGTATAACTTTGAATGAGTTTGAATCCATATCCATAGACTAATATAATATATTAATAAATATTAATAATATAATATTTCATAATATATTGTGTTACAATAGTCTTATAAGATAGACTAATAATARTATATATAAGTCTATGAATGAAAATCACTTTTCTTATTATCCAATGCTTCGACCATATTATAAACTGTTAAACTAACAAACTGTACAGTGTATATTAATTACTATTCAGTATTCAGGACTATACTTCCACAGTCGGAAATCCTCTAAAATGTTAAGGAAGCTTTTTATAGATACTGAATTCTGTGTAATTTTGTTTTATTCTGTGGAAATACTAAATAATCGTTATCATTGCAAAAATAAAATAGTAAATACCTATTTTAGCTATTCTTTGAAATCCAACTTAATTTTATCTTATTAATTGTTTCATGTTTATAAATTACAATTTATAAGATATAAATTAATAATTATAATATGTAATAATTTGTTAAGACTTCACTTTTCGCTGTATATTTTATATTACATACCTATAAGCTATAAATCAAAGATATTCGTAAACTTCATTGAACTTTAATTTGTATGAGATATGTTTTTTATATTTAGATACACACGGGTATTATGAATATAGATATTTGCAATATTTATCGAACTTTATGTTTTAAAAACAAAGTATCTGTTGACCAATTTATTGTATCATGTTTATGCAATGCAAGGTAACAAAAAAAAAAATAATAATAAAAMATAATATTGAGTATTTATTTTATTAATTATGATTTCAGTGTTCATGGGGAATTAAATTTAAAAAGTACTACAATTACTGAAAGTTCTTGTTCATTGATAGTCGAGTCTATAAAATGTAAACCCACTGATATTAAAGTATTGAATTTATCTAATTGCCTACTACCACCTGGTGGTTTGAAGATCTTTTTAGATTTGGCRAATAAATTAACAAATTTAAAGAAATTATATATAAAAGGAAATAAAATCGGAAATAAGTTAACACTATATATTTCTAAAATATTATTAAATAATACTAATATTACAGAGTGTGTTAATTATTAATTTTTATTTTTATTAATTTTTTTATAAAATCTAGAAACAACATTGTTTTTAAATATTTTTAGACTACAATTGGATTGGAATAACATTGGTGATTCAGAATACACATTTTCCCAATTATGTTGTAGTTTAATGTCAAATACAACATTAAATACATTAAATTTGGCAAATAATAATCTATGTCAAATATGTGGTGGTCATTTAGCTAAGCTGTTAATCGTAAATAAATGCTTAAAGAACATTGGTAAATATGATTGAATTTATTGAATAAACGTACATAATAATATTCGTTATACACTACCCATAATATTTTTTGGCCTATGGCATATATTAATATTTTTCAAAACTGGGTTGGAATTTAAATTATATGTTGTACAATTTCTGAATTTTCTTAGTATTATATCCAATTTTTAAGATATATTAATGTATATTATATTATAGCAGTTAATCCTGCTTTGTAAAATCTTCATTTCTATACTTTAATTGGACTAATAGCCTTTAAAATGGTTTAAACCAGGTAATTATATATTACAGTAACTTCCATGTAAATATGATGGTTTTGAATCCATTTTTTTTTTTTAAATTTTAATACAAGATACCTACATTCATTTCAGATTTAAGTTGGAATCATATAGGTGAAACTGGAGCAGCATTATTATTGACATCTTTAAAAAACAATGACATTCTTTTAGAACTAAACATTCAAGGAAATTCTGTGTCTTTGGAAGTGTCTACTTTGATAGGTAGGTTGTAGGTATCTCAAAAATGAAAGTAATTAGGTACTAAAATAAATGTTGAAAATTTGATTCACTAGATGTTGGTAGTTTTACGTTAAGTCGAGAATAGCTATTGAGAAAATAATAGAATATGTTTCTAAACATCTTAATAAAATTTCTGATTAATAAATTGTGCTATTAATCTTTATGACACTTTTGAAGTATTCCTACTTGAATAACAACAGTAATAAGTTCTGAAAACATCCTTATAAATTACCTAAATGAAATATTTTGTTTTGCTTAGAATCTTAAATTATATTGTGCACCGATATAGATTAATTGTTTTTAATGCATTTTGAAAACTTATMGTACCTATTCATGACATCATAATTATGAAAACAAGTTAAAGATTATATAGGTRCCTATCATCACCTATGTGGATATAATGTATGGTTTATATTTTATTTTTGATACTTTATTTATAGTGCATCAGTAATATATTATTATAAATAATCTGTAAATTTAGTTATTCTTTTAATACTCATTTTTATTCATAGCCAAAAAATTAAAACAAAATGAATTAATCAATTTCATTAACAAAAATGAAGTTCAGGTCAGGAACTTAAGGCACATTGAACATGTARGATCAGTTGATAAAAATTATCAAGCACAATTGAACATTCTTAATAATCAATACCATAACAGTGTCAAGTAAAATGCTTTTATATTTACATACTTAAAATTAAAATCAGCATCTCATTTATAGCAATGTAAAATATTCATAGTGAATTACAATCAAAACTACAACTTCTTCGATCAGAAAATCAAGAACTAAAACAAGAACTTGTAGAACTAAAAAACAATAGTTTAAAAGAACAAGAAAAGTATATACAAATTTCAAACCAAATTAAGAAGATAAAATCAGAAACATCTTTTAATAAACAAAGTTTGAACTCGCTTGTAAAAAAATTAAGTAATGAAGTTACGAATTCTGATATGGAAAACATAAGTTCTTTGGAGGTTTCTAGAATTTTATATATCACTAAAAAAATTAACTATAATAATGCATATATTTTTTTTTATTCAGGACTTGGACAAAATTTTTCATATTGTAAAAAAAATCAAAAAAAGCTTTACTATTAAAATTTTACATGAAAAAGAAGAACATCAACGATTATTAGAAGCTTTTCCAAAGTTGACAAATGAACTAAATATATTAAGAGAAGAATGGAAAAATTTGAAGTCTTCAACAAAACTAAATATCAAAAACTCTTCTGGTTACAAATTACAATAATTATTATCTACTTAAATAAAAACAAACTATTTACTACTATTTAATATTTTTGATTATAGATGAATTAAWAGCTATTAAAAAGTTACTTTTTACAAATATGTTTCATCTTAAAATATCTAATCAAATTAACCACAARATAAATATGAACAATTTAATTGTACAAGAAGAAGAAATCAATATTTCTGATGAACAGGTTGTATTATTTTGTATTAATTTGTATCAAATATATGATCTAACATAAATTTATTCCAGACTAAGGTGTTAATTTTGTTTAATACAAAGATAAAGACTTTATATAAAGAAAAGACAGATTTGGAAATTAAATTAGCAGAAGCCGAAACACATTCTACACAAGCTGCTCAGACAGTGAGAGTACTTCAAAATAATTTAAAATTGGCTGAAAATGAATTGATTAAGTTAAACGATATATCAGCTCAAACGATAAGTACACAATTAAATGCTGATAAATTAACCAAAGAAATATATGCTTTAAAAAATAATATTGTTGAAAAAGATTATGAGTTACAACTCTGTAAAATGAAAATAGATGAAATTAATGATAATCATAAAAATGAATTATTAAATCTTGAGAAAAAATTTCAAGCAGAATGTCAAACATTTAAAGAAAAAAGGTTGGTAATTAATATCTTTTAGTTATGCTTAATTTAATTTTCTAAGATCATTATTCATTTTAATATAATTTTAACTAATTAAAGAACACTAACTACCAATGTTAGACAAAAAACTATAATTAACAAATAATAAATGATTAAAGTTTAAAATATTTAATTTATAATCTAAGATTAATAAATTTCAATATTGAAGGTGGTGGGTCACTTGAAACATTGAATTAAATTTGAGTTTTTCAATGATATGATATCATATTGTAAATGAAAAATAATCCCGAGCAAGAATTCACTAGCCTGTATTACCAAGAATATTTTATGATAACATTAATGTTATTAAAGCAATTTATTTTAATATCATACATTTTTTAATAATATATTGAGGTGAATAATTTTTGATGGAAATATTTTGTAAAAATTCATCGGTTTTCYTTAATTATTTTGTATTTCCGATGCATTTGTAAATTACTAAAATTACTAGAAATTTTTACTTTTGATCCACCAAGAAACCAACTAGATTCATTTGCTACCAGCAAAAATKAAAATGTCCAAGCCAAGTTTGAAATTCATTGTAACTTCTTCCCCCTTCAAAATCAAAAATATCTACTTAAAATTCATGGAAAGACCAGTCGTTCTTTTAAATATTGAATATTTATAAGACGTAATAATATATTTTAAAAGTAGTTAAGAAAAAATAATGTTTTCTGTAGGAAAGAAAATCAAAAGCAAATTGAAGAAATGTATTTCATGTTTAAAAAATATTTTGCTAAATTGAAAAGAGATGACTGAAAACACGAATACGTATCGATTAGTTAATCAAAGTCGATAAAATATAATAAATATAATAACTACCTAATAAGTAAAAGAARCTTATATTCTAAATATGTTTGTATATTATTTATTTTCATGATCTTTTATGTATTTGTTGTTTTTTCGTAAAAATAAGTTAAGAAAATTTAAAGGCAA